CTGACTGACTGGGACCGGTACCGCTGACTGCATGGGTTTGCACTGCCAACTCGATGCAGTCGCACTGCCGACGTAACGCAGTTGGGCTCACCACTTGCCCACTTGCCTCTGACTAAACGTGAGACACTTCGAAAGGCCACTTCCGGACCTTCCAGAAGTCTGTGGACTTGGCCTTTCGGGTACTGTAGCAGCTACGACCTTGACCTTTCAGAATACCTACAGCTACGACCTCTACAAAGCTGTAACTACTAATCGACAGACCTACAGATCGAACCCTTACCACTACACAGACCTACGACCGACGACAAACAACTACCAAACCACAGGTCACGGGTTCAAACACTCGGGTGTCGACTCGATACTGTACATGGGCAAAGTGAGGTCTGGGGATCAAACTCTAGGGCCCGCATCTGTGACTGCAGAAAGGTGAAAACCGTTTCAACTTTCAAAGTTCAAACCAAAAAAAAAAAAAAAAGAGTTCACGAACTTCATTCATGGGGTGTTTGGGCTGGCTACGTGTCGAAGGGAGGGCTATTCTTTTAAGGAATGATCCTCACAGGTTCGTGTTGACAACAATTAATTCCTAAAAGAATATGTGAAAGCAATTCAAAACACCATAACGGTGGTTTTGGGCCTTTTGGAAACTGGGGGGATTCCCTTTTTTTTTCTAAGGAATGATCCTTACGCTGTTTTCAACTTTTCACATTTTCTTTTAACATTTTTTTTATTATTATTATTATTATTTTTTTTTTTTTTTAAGGAAGAGTCTACTACCGATGTTTCATTCCTAAAAATTGGCATTTTTAGGAGTGCCTAACAACTTGACCCTTACTCCACAACCTTTTTTGACCCTTACTCCACAACCAAGCATCGTTACCTGGAGATTGATTGCAAACATAAATGGACGATGCCTTCCTTTTGTGCCTTGCCTCCAGGCCTGCCAGCCACACGATTGCATCCCATTTCATCACATTCCGTGTTCACCGTACGACGTCAGTCAACCTTTGCAGAAAGAGGCCTGCTGGAGTTGGCAATTCGTTTTTTTACTTTTTGGCCTTCTCATGGCCCTTTTTTTTTTAAGTTTCTTTTTCTTCTTCTTCTTCTTCTTCTTCTTCTTCTTCTTCTTCTTCTTTTTTGTTCTCTCTTTTTTTTTTCTGAATGGTGTTTCAGCATTGATATTTTTTCAGATGGTACATAGCGTTGGTCCTTACTGCGCAGATCAAAGAGGATCTTTATAGCAGGGAACCCCAATACCATCTTGAGATTATTCCCAAACTGAGCACTTGAGGAGGGGGAAGGATTTGTAAGCAAATTAGTCAGGAGGTGGAGAAGAATAAGCCTTAGGGAGTTAGGACACAGAGTGATTCAAACCTGTACTATGATCTATCTTGATTTCAGCATTTCCTTGAAAGTTGGAAACAACGAATACGGTCATCTCATCTCAGTTATTAGGGGACTACTTATGCAGCTTTACAAAAAAAAAATCGTAAGGCTTTTTTGCAAATTTCATTAGAGTAAGGATTGCAGTTCTTTTTTCTTTTTTTTCTTTTCTTAATAGGATTGCAGTTTTCCTAACAGTTATGGTCTTTAGAACGCACACAAAGAAGAGGGAGATCACATGAACGCACAAAAAAAAAGGTCGTCTCATGAACACACACACACACACACACGGAAAAAAAAAAAAAAAAAAAAAAAACAGGAACGGTCTCCCAAGACCAGGTTTTTTACTTTTGATTCTTCTCTGCTACAAATGTCGCTCTCCTTGTTGCTCTCCTTGTTCATGATTGCTGTGTTTCAAAAAAAAAACAGGGTTGCAGTTTTTCCTCTTTCCATACCAACATCAGTTCACCAAGCTTGAAAAATCCCCACCGACTGTAAGACCTTTCAAGTACTTCTTCCTTTCTCCTCCCCC